CTATCTCGAATGCAAATTTTCAAGGAATGCCAATCTTACACTTAGAAGGTTGGCGCAGCATAGTTTGATACTTTTTTTTTTTATTTGACATGTGACTCACTAAACCAAACAATAAATCAATAATAATAATAATAAAATGTTTTTTCCTTACTATGAAACTGAAACTGCGGGAAACAAAATCGCCGGTAAGTGGTGGGGATACCATACCACGTACTAGCTGAGTGCTCTTCCACGTATTGGCCTTGTGTTGTATTTTGCTAATCTTAGGAAGTACTATACATTTTATAGCCCATTTCTGCCAGTAACGCATGCATTAATTCCTGACCACTGACAATCCTTCCTTTCCGCATTTTCAAGGCACAATTAATTTTAGGCAAACAAAATGGCAAAATTTGGTGTTTCATTAAATTTTTTTATCCTTACTGAAGAAATTTTTAGTTTATCAACGCAAAAAATGACTGAGAGTAAAGGTAAAGACAGTGGGTATTAATCAGAAAAGTCGATCTATTATTTTCGTACAAATGCAGTCTGTTATTAAATGCAACTTTGATTATTGATTTCTCGGTCTTTTCGTGGAGATCGGAGTGTAGTATCTGTTCATTTGAGATTGGAGAAAACTCCGGTCTTGTGTCACAGCCAGCCTGAGTGGAGAGGTCAGGTAAATGCCAAGATCAAAGCGTAATATCTGTTCTTTCCTCTTTTGAGGTGGGTACAGGCGCCCGGTCCTGGGAGGTTACAACCCTGCAGCCTCACCTTCCACGTTGCACTAACGGGGGTGGAATCGATGTAATATCGACGTCAGCGGAACAGTGACCGTGGAGACTGGTCATTTTTTGTCCTTAGCCAATATGTGTCCCGTCCTGCTTTAATGCGAACGTCTGGTAAATAAACTTTTGTCACGATAGTTTGTTGCGTTTACTCCGTTTTCCCCATGCTATAAAATGGGTAGCATATTTTGATTATACGTTATTTTTATAGATACAAATATTTAAGTAAATGCTCAGTTTATAATAAACAGTATTAACAACATTTACTGGATATCCGAGAAGTTTTATAGAAAATATGCGTCCTCCGAGAGGAATCAAATCTATATCCTACAGGGAACCGTCATGTAGCCTGACGTGCTATACCATTTAGCTACAGAGGAAGCGTCTGCTTAGTGAGGTCGAACTACGGCTTTTAAACTACAAACTTCCCATATTTTCTATGAAATTTCTCGGATATTCAGGCCGGTAAATGTTAATATTGTTTATTATAAACAGAGCATTTACTTAAATATTTGTATCTATAAAAATAACGTATAAACAATATATATATATATATATATATATATATAATAGAGAGAGCGAGAGAGATTGCAAAAATCTGCTCGCCTTTAAATTTGTTAAATTCCAGTATTTTATTGGCTAACATGTTTTGTTAAGCCTTAATGAGCTTTGTTGTTTCGACTGCTGTTATCATCGTTTTATTTTTCAAGAGACGCATTATTACTAAACAACGCTGATAAAGGAACTGAAATTAGAAATATTAAGATTTATGAAAAAAAATAACCAAGAAATAAAATTGAGAATAATCATTAAAATTAAATGAAAGATAATTATAATAATATTCACCATTAAATACATGAGTTATAAATAGCAATTATAAATATTTTTATGATGGCGCAAATAACATTTGCTAACAAATAATAATGCTAATAATAAGAGAAGAAGTGTTTATAATACGATAATATGCATTTTCTACACCTACATATCTACAGTGTATGTTTAAATTTATTTCGTAAATTTACATAATGCAGCACAAGTGGAGATGAGGAAGAGGTTGGTCCAATTTTGACTATCTTCCTCTTAGCTAGATTCTTTCCTTAGTGACCCCCACACACAGCCTAAAGAATTCACCCACCATTCATATTTTATTTATCTCAGTCACCATAAGACTGCATTTGTTTGACAAACTTAACTGTTTTCCCACGGCAACTTATACAAAAATAAATGATGGTGGGTGAGGTAAAAAAAAAGAAAGGTAAATAATTTAAAGAAAAAAAAATAAGACGTGAAAATTGTTTGTGTTTGTGGTACTCTTTAGAGGACAAAAGGTTTTCTGTAAGTCAAGAGAGGTGTATACTTTCGTTTTTCTTTTTTGCCCCCCCCCCCTTTTAACCAGAAATAAGGACTTTCTATAAGAAAGGCGAAAAATAGACAAAAATCAATGTGGGGAAAGGATATACAGATATGAACTTCAGACTAGACAAATGTTGTAATACTTTAGGTTAGTCAAGTCAGTCAAGTTCCATATGTGATACACGCTTGGGTGATCATATCTCTTTCCGATTCTTGATTGACTAGGCAGATTTCGCCATAGTAGGCTGTTGTTTCTTTCTGTGGAAGACTGATTGCCATCCAAGGTGATAGGAGACCCATTCTGTCCTATTATTCAACTCATAGCTAATGGGTGAGAAAACAGAGTCATATCCTTTCTTTCCCAATGGTATTTGCGCGTAAGTGAATGTAACGAATTCGTTACCCGCCGTAAAAGACACGGATTTTACTTACTAAGCAAATCTATTGTACACCTACTTACATACATCTGTCTAATAAAAGAAAAAATTGCAGTGTATAGAAATTTTTATTAGAATCGGGCGATTGGATTCCGAGTAATTTTCATTTTCTTTTTATTAATTAGAATTTGCCCAAAAAATATATGGCAAAGGGAGATAACTCCATGTCTACTAACTGCTAATTATAGAGTCGTTTCTTAGTTTTATTAAAAAGTAAATAAGAGGAATAATCAATGATAGATTCTTCCAAACTAACATTAACTTTTTTTCAGGGATATTTATAAAAAAAATAATAGTACTCATAAAAATAATGGGATTACTTACGTATAGATCAGTGTGCTACCTTGCGGATTATTTGAATAATAAGATCTTCGTACTCATTAGAATTTTAACAAGTCCTGATAGAAATAAACTACACGGGAAATGCCCATTTCCAATTCGTGCCAGAGGCCAAGCAAAAATTGCTAGAATTTCGAATGGTGATTTTCAAGGCAGGTAAGTTTTTCTCCATTTAAAAGATTGGTGCAACGCAATCTTAATTATTCTATTTCTATTGTTTAGCATTGTTAACTTAAACGGGTGGACTGAGTTGCGTATTCGCCACTGGTGCCAGAAGTTGGTATTTGAGCCCAGGTGAAAAAAAAAATCTCTCTGCTTTCAAATGATTTATATGTTAGGCCAAGTTTCTTCTTTTCACTTTTAAGCTTGGCTCAACATAATTTTCCTTATTACTCAATTTGGTTTGTACAAATGTAAGCTCACAAAAAAATCTGAACAGCACACTGAATCCATGGAAATTTCACAGTTCTTGCCAATTATTTGTGTAATTAAATCAAGCTTTTTGCAGAATGAACTCAACATTCTATGTATATTTAAACAATTTTGGTTCAACAACTGATTTTGATTTTATAAGTATTAATAAAAAGGTAAAGACTGGAATTGCAAATTCAACTGGATCACACTTTGACACCGTCCTTTACTCTTATGTTAACGCTTTGAACATCCACCTCTACCAATCAAAAAGCATTGTAAGGAGGAGAAATTAGAAAAGGAGTAAAAATTTATCTTAATACACCAAGTATTTTTACTGGTAATTGTAACATTTTTTTTATGTACAAGTTATATCCCTTGCACTTGTTTCTGTTCAGTCAATGACCTATTTTTCAAAGATGTCCACGAAATCGTAAAGTGAAAAGACCCACACTATGAAAGTGCAGTACGCAACAAATATTTTCCAGTTATTAAATTAAAAAAAAAAAAAAAAAAAAGAAAAAAAAAGCATTTAAAATGTTGTCATTATTTACGGTATGAGTAAACTAATTTTATTATTGAAATTAAAAAAGATATGTTGTTCACTCACCTGAATTCATTGATTTGTAAATGTTATCGTCAAATCTGTCACGCTACACAAATTCTTGTAGGTGTTTCTTTAAAAACAGGATTGGAGTTTTAGTTTAAGTTATTTTTGTTGTAACCAGCGAAGAGCTGAGAAACAGATCCCCGACAAGCAGAGAAAAAAATGACGGCTTGGAACTTATCAGCTATTGACTTTAAAAATCCTGCCAGCAATTCAGTTTGTGCTGTATCGGATCATAGAGCGAGAATGAATATAATTCCATAGAAATTAGAGATTTATTTATTTTTGATACGAAGATTAACAATGAAAAAATGATTTTAAATTTTAAGTATTCGATTAACTGGAAAATAAAATAAATCATTATCCTAAAACCTAAACTAAAGTTTATTTTATTTATTTATTTAACAATTGGATGTTCTTGTGATTAAAGTGCTTTTTTACAAAACAATACACTCAATGTATTAAATATTCACTGTAATGAGTCTGGTCATAATTTTGATTTAAAAAATGCTAGTCCAATTAAAAGATAAAGCAATTTACTAAAACGAAAACGTAAAGAAAGTGCTTTAATCACAAGATCATAGAGAATAAATTTATCTTGCTATAGTATAAGGATCCATTATGTTAGTGTGTTTCAGTAACGCAGTAAAAACGATATATCGAAGCGCATTATTTTTTTTAACAGCGTGTACCGTTAAAATGATTTAATTTACCGAATAAAACAATTTATATCCTAGTCGTATGACTGGATTCCGAGTGTTTTTTTTTTCTTTTTCAAATTAGTAAAAATTGTTAAAGGGAGATGACTCCAGGTTTATTAACTGTTAATTACATAGTTGTTTCTAGTTTTAATTAAAATAAAACCAGGAGTAATCAGAAGAATTCTTGACGTGTCTGCATTATTCCCTCAGCCATACTGGCATTACAATGACATCACTCAAATAATAATAAAGCCTGATGAAAATTATCCTTCACAGGTAATTGAAAATTCTATAGAAAAAGATTTGATACTGAGCTTAATGCTACCGTAAGTAGTATTTAAGCGACTTAAAAAAAATACTCCGAATTTTATAGAAACAGTGTTTGATGGGATTTGAACTTGTAAATTTTCGTATTCGTTTACCATTGCCGAATCTTCAGTTGCGTATAAAACAACGTTCTGCTTATTATAATAAGCCGTACATTCGACAGCGATACAATGGAAATGTAACGTATGTACGCAAGTACGAACGAAGTCAGAAAAAAAATTCATAAATAATTTCTTTGAATAATTTTTTTACGAAACTATCTATGATTTCGACAATAATCACTCAAAATGTTTCCACAAAAAATTATTAATAACTAAATAATACTGACAAAAATAAGTGTTAATAATACCTTTTTCTTTGTCTCTAGTAAAGCGAATGAAATAAAAATAATACACAATCTAATAGTCGCGATAACGGTGGCGTGTGGCGTATTGAAGTACTGGCATTGGTTAATTGCAGTGAAGTTGTAGACATTATCATGTAGTGCCTATAAAGCATCCCATTTACAGCCGACAAATACGCTCACTCGAAACTGGAGAAATGTCGTCATTAATTGCGAATGTAATGATGCAGACGAGAGATCGCTGCTGCTTCTGTAGCCGTTGGAAAATTGTTTGCTACGCCAGTTTATCGCTAACAAATATCTCACAAGCATTCAACTCTCTTCTCGTTGCTTTTTCAATTTCTCTGACTTTCTCTTTATTTTTTTTTTCTTCTTTATTTTCTTTTTTCGATCTGAAGCCTCACTGCCTTGCAGATTCTCTTAGTTTTGCCTCAATCAGTATCACTGCCATCAAACTTAAAAATATCATCGTTTGCATCTTGGAACCTATTCTCTTTTTTTTTTTTCCCCTTGGCATTATTTGTGTTCAATAACGATTTCGCCGAGTAACCCCACCCCCCAACAATATCTTGAGATAAAAACAAAAAAGACAAACATTTTTTTTCTTTTTACAGTTTCCTGGTTAATCTTTTTACATTTTATACCCACCACCATCAATTTATTTCTTCCTCTTTTTTTTTCTTTTCATTTTACTCTTTTCAAACTTTCCTTCTTTTCTTCTTTGTTTCACCATTTTCTCTTTTTGTAACGCAATTTCATTCCTTTTCATTTTTCTTCTTTCCATTCAATCTGTTTTCTTCTCTCTCATTCTTTTTCTCTCAATTACAAATTTCATTCTTTCTTTTCTATCTCTTTTTTTTTTTTCCATCGTCCCAATCACTCTTAACTCTTTCCTTGCTTTTTGGTCGATTTCGTCTATTCGCTCACAATATTCGCATCTTTCTTTTAGCTTTCCTTGGAACAATTTGATTTCAAGGATTTTCCATCGAATTTATCGACTGCCAAAAAAAATAAAGAAACCTTAATTTATTTTACATAATCTTTTCTAGCATTTTTTCTTTTACTTCCCACACTTTTCCGAATGATTGATATATTTTGGGTTTATATATATATATATATATATATATATATATATAGTGAACATTGAAGTCAAGACTTTCATGCTGATGTGCATTTAGCATGAAACAGTCTGTCACCTGTGAGTGTTGATTTCAATGTTCACTTTTATCTCTCTCTCTCTGATATTGAGCACTTTATCCCATAAATATAGTACACCTTAAAACTATATAATTAAATATAACAGGCAATGAATGTCTTATGTCTGATCATGAGCCGTTCGAATGTTCGCTTTATTTTCACCCGAAATTAAAGCAAACATTCGAATATTAGAATGGCTCATAATACGACGGATATTTATTTTCTGTTATATTTAATAATATATGTTTAAATAATGATATGCTGCCCAATACACCATATATATATATATATATATATATATATATATATATAAGCATCTATTTTTTACATAAATATTTTTCGACATGATGTCCTTTCTTACCAATGCACTTAACAGGAAGCTAATCCATTAATCACATAATTAAAATTTCAGATCAAAATTCAGTTGTGTTCGGCTACAAACGCCATCATCTACTCATGTATGTATTTTTATTACTATGTATTTATATGGCTTTTCAGTTATTGTAGAGAGCTTGAAAAATTGACATTTGTAACTAATATTTGAATGTCAGCGTTTATACAGTAATATCATAGATTTTTCTTTATCTGTCTATATTTCTGAGATGAGGTATTATGTACACTATTTACATTATTAGGACTATTGTTCTCATCTTTGTCGCCATATTTATTGCAACATTTCGGCCGTTGTACGCTCCGGCCTTTTTCAGGTGGTTGGAATGTCGAACTGAACCCTTTATTTCGCTCACTGGAGTAGACTGTTCTAGTTCTACGTGCCATGTTTAATGGATGTCAGTTATCAGTTATCTCCTCTTAATTCCCCTCTCCAAGTTCTCCACTGCTTTAACCGGGTATTGAACTCACACTCTTTGGGTCATGTCAATGGATCTAACCAACGCCTTTATCCGCTGTGCCATGTGTAAATAGTGTAGATTTTTCTTTATCAAATGTCCCAATGAGTGATTGAAAAAATTACGAAATATTGAGTCGACCTTCGATAAGTACTGAACGCCGTTACATCACTAATTTAATAACTATCGCTAGAGGCTAATATTGGGCACGTTATTAACAAAAATTCTGTTAATTTGATAGACGTTGCATTAATGCTAGCTAATACCAGCAATTAAATTGCTCGTATAAAGAGCTACCATGATTTTATTTTAGATATCTGTCTAAGTACAATCTGATTGAAAAGTAACTCCCTATTTTATGTATGATGGACCTTTCCGTCTAACTATAATTTTTATAAGACGGGAGAGTCCATCGTACATAAAATAGGGAGTTACTTTTCAATCATTCTGTATATGTATGGAAGTATCTATATAGGTTTATCTTTCATGTGCGTGGGTATGGATATACGTCGGTTGGGTACATCAATAAGTAACCTAATGCTGAAAGAAGCATTTCTTTTACACGACACATTTCTTTTTCAAGATAATCACCTTCTTTGTTAATGCACTTGATAAAATGGTGAATATTAATCACAGATCAAACATTACAGTGAAATTTTCAAATGTATTCATCTATCTGGTATTGATTTATTGATCTATTTTATATATATATATATATATATAGAGAGAGAGAGAGAGGGGGTAGATAGGTTCGCCGAATCCTTCTCCCCGTTTTTTTTTTAGCAGGAGTAGACGTTTATCTCTTGCATCCTGTTTAGAATTGGGTTTCCGGTCCCTCCTAAAATCATCTAATTCTCTTTCATTACCAGTAGTTCCTTGCGTCTTAGTGACATTACCGCCTTGCTTGGAGTGAATTGAAATATATATATCTTCTGTTCAAAAAAACGGGGAGAAGTGTGAACCGGACGATTCGGCGAAACTATCTACTCCTTTCAATATATATATATATATAAAGTCCGACAATTATTTTATTATATTTTCAGTTTATACGTTATTTTTATACATACAAATATTTAAGTAAATGCTCTGTTTATAATAAACAGTATTAACTACTTTTACCGGCCTGAATGTCAGAGAAATTTAATTAAAAGAAAAATATGTCCTCCGACAGGAATCGAACCTGTATTCTACACGGAGACGTCATTTGGCCTAACGTGCAATAACATTTTAGCTACAGAGGAAGTATCTAGTTAAAGTCACGCACACATATATATATATATATATATATATATATATATATATATATATATATATATATATATAGATAGATAGATAGATAGAGGAAAGAGAGAGATGAAAGTAATTATTAATAATATTTTGACTATAATGAGCAGTGTTCTAAGAAACTTTGAAGTCGATCAAGAGATAAGTCAAATTTTTATTAATTTATTGCCTATTATGTGTGTCTTTCTGCATCTGTGGTTTTCCTTTTCCCATTCATTGTTTTTTTTTTCATATTTTTAACCTGATTTTTCCGTGATTTAACCCTATCGAGTTCATGCCTCTTTTCTTTTTATCCTTATTTATTTGTTCAAAAATTCAGTCTTGACTTTCTATACTTACTTACTTACTTTTCATCTTTTATTTTATTTTTTTCATATTAATACTTCCTAAAAACGACCCTGTATATTCCGATTTGACAGTTATTTATTAATCTCTTCCAATTCCATCAAAACCAAACACAGCCTTTAACATTGGGACGAAAATAAGAATTCACTTTTCTTTTTTTTTCTTATTTTTAATTTCCTTTCTTCTTCACCTTTTTCTAACGTAATTCATTCTTTTCCTTCTTTCTCAGCATTTTCTTTTACTGTTTTTTTCTCTCTTATATGTTAAAGTTTGACTGTTTAAGTTACTTTTTTATTTATTTACTTTTAAACTATGATTCTCCCCTTTTTCTTTCTTTTAGTATAAATTTATTTTAGAATTGATTAAGAAAGGGCACAGTTTTTTTTTCTTTCTTTCATTCGTTTTAGATCTCTGCGTCAATTCGCTTTTCGTTTGAAGAAACAAACAAGATTCACTTTTTAACAAGCAAGTATGCAGATTCAGGAGGTGCGCACGCGTGAATATACACACACACGATACTGCAGTAAAAGCTTTCTCAACAAATATACTTATCTTTTTTCTATAAAAAAAGAATACAAAGCCTCCTTGGTGGGTGAGGCAAATGCATTAACGAGTGTTTGGCGTCCGAGCTTAAAACTCTAAAGGTTTTTTTTTTTTTTTTTAATTTTCCAATGGAAAGCGGCTTACGGCCACATCACGTCGAAACATTGGTTCCTGTACATAGTGTACGAACACCAAAGTTACGCAACGTCTAGTTTGGTTATTACCAAGATGGGTGATCACTTGTGCTGTAAGCTTGAATATGCAGGTTGTGTAATAATGGCTCGGAATTGTTAATCGTAGGGCCGAGTTCCAATTCCTGTTGGGTTTGTTATTCACTTACGCGCAAATACCCTTGGGAAAGCTATGTATCCACCTATTTTTTCTCTCAGCTAAGACTTGTAATACTAAATTAAAAAACAAAAAAAAAAAACTATTATTATCTAAAAATAAATAAATAAAATTACGTACAACATATTTAGATTTCAGCATTAAATAACCCATAGAGGTGTTGATATACTTCCTATCAGCCGTACCACGTAAATTCAATATAGATAATCTCTCTCAAACAACTTATATGAATTTTTTTAGTTTATTTTGTAAACCGCAGTTTTGTTTGTTTTTTTGTTTGTTAATTGATCGATTTTCTACTTTATTCGTGTTTTATTTTATAGTTATGATGTCATGGAGTTCGTTAGTCATTTCCTATTTTATTAGCGTTATCAAAAATTATTTTACAAAATAAAATTAAATGCATTAGTTTCTAAAAGTAAGTGGTTTAGAGTCAGCAGAAAACACTTGATTACAAAATTATCACTGGATAAATATACTTATACATACTTTCTTGGTAGCTGCTGGTTGTGTAATTCATTATCGGAATCAAAAATCAGTGTTCGAGTCCTCCCAATTGTCTTCTGAACAAGCACGTTGCTAGATTCTTCTTGTTTGGCAGTGGAGGGGTGGTTTTTTAAGTTGGGAGCGCGAGTAAGAATTTGCACACTAAAATTAGTTCACTTCATTTTCAGGGTTGGGGGTGATGAGCAAGCTGCAAGATCCTTTCTCAGTCGGTGGGTCTGCCTCTGGTTATCCTATTCTCAAATTAACTTTGTTTCTAAATGAACATAAATAAATGCATTAATTTTTTGTCCATCCAATTCTAATGAATTAATTTTTTTTTTTTATGAATTGTACTTAAAATTAATTACTTTCTTAAATGTCCACGTCAAAACAAAACTAATAATCATTAGTATTTAAACACTGTACACCGCACTAAATTTATATACCCAGCAAAGCATATTACACACGAATAAAAGTATATTAAAGTCATATGTGTATTTGTATCTTTAAAATTTATGTGTGTATGGATTTTTATGCAAATTTCAAAGGTATGCACAAAATAAGACTAAATAATTTTGAAATTAGTAACTTTTTTAATCGAGTGTATATGTGTGCAGTGAAACTAAAAATACACAAGACACCCAAACTAAACATAAACACATGCACAACACATACACTCTCAGATAGACTAGAGACAAATATGTTCACTGGGGGGGGGTGGGTAGTTACACACACAAGGAATATCTACGTAAGGAGTAAATTATACACTACGGGAACTATTCGTAGGTAGACACAGAAATGATACGTTTATTATATTTATAACATATCTATTCTATTTCATTGTGTTTTCAAAGTATAACTGGGTTCTTTGCCGTGGAGCGGATTTTTAACAACGTCGTTCGTTTCAATAGTGAAGTTCTATCTGGGTACGTGTACTGTAGCCCTAAGATAAGCAAAGCAAAACTATATAGTAAAAAAGTAAAATAGAAGTACTATTCGTAAGAGACACCAAGAAAATTGCTTAGTGTGTACACTAGTGTACAATGTACTTAGCAAATAATGCAGACATTTGTACACGAGAGAAATATCACAATCTGTGTAGTACAGTGCTTAAAAGTAAAAAAAGAGAAAATAAAATGAAAGTACACACACACACACACAATAAGAGAGATAGTTTTTATTTATTTTTTTATTTATTTATTTTTTTTTTTGCAGATGATCACACAAAAATGCGTGTAATGTACACTACATACATTTAGAACATACTAGAAAGAAAAGCACAATGTGAAAAGGGGAAAAGCCATCAGAAGCTAGCATATACTGGGCGTATTTGATGTGTGTGCAGAAAAAGAAACACGTATATGTACACCTCCAAGGGTTTTTTTTTTAGATAGAGCATATTTGAAAACCTTCTGCTTTCACACACACACACACACACACACACACACAGAGAGTGAGAGAAATAAAAAGGGGAATGTAATCAAAGAAAAGAAGCCATTCACACACATAAAATTTACAAAGAATTTAAAAAGCTAAAAACAAAACAGTATATGGAAGTCCCCGGAAGCGAATAATCAAAAGGAGAAAAGATTTAACAAACAAACAAAAAAAAACCTAAATGAAATACAAAAAGGAAAAAAAAGTTCAGAAAAAAAAAATCACGAAGCAATAAAATAAAGAGTTGTAAAGAAAGCAAGAAAAAAAGAAAGGAAGGAAATAACATAAAGAAACACAGAATGAAAGCAAGAAAGAAAAGAAACAAGAGAGAAAGAGTATAAACACAAAGCGAGGAGCTTTAAAGAGAAATGAAGGGGAGGAAGAGGATGAGGTAAAAGAACCGACAAGCAATATTGAAAAGCAACCAATGAAAAGCGCATATTTTAGATTTACGCCATTTGATTGGTCAACACGCCTGGCCTGATTCGTTAGTTTAGGCTTTGACAGGTCACCCCCCCTTCCCCTAACTTTCCCTTCACTTCCCCAACCCATTGTGGCTGCTGCTGCTGCTTGCCTTGTCATTATTTGCAATAGAAGCTAGAGTAACCTCATAGGGCACACACACACACACACACACACCCACCCTACAGGATGTGTGTACACACACACACACACACCTACAGGATGTGTACACACACACACAGCGCTCTTTTACGCGTCTCTCTTTAGTAGAGTACACACATACTTTCTGTGTTTTTATCTGCGCATATACACATACTGACACACATGTACACTCATACAATGATCATAAATCAATACAATACACACACATATTTTCTCACACTTTCACATACACCTTTCTCTTTTTTTACACGTCTGAGTACACACAAGAGAACTGAATTGAAGACAATTAATTGTATTGGTGTAAGCGCACACACAAACTAATTCGATCAAACTTACTTACGCATATTTTTAGTAAGGGACACATATATACACAAAATACACTCGCCTTTTATTAATTTAAAATGTATACACTCTTTAATGGTGTAAAGAAAATAAAAAATAAAATAACTTTAGTTAGAAAGAATCAGTGGGTCTAAGCTAAAAAAAAAAAAATTAAATCCTAAGCTCTCACATTTTTACAGCTTTTTACACACACACACACAAAAACAAAGAAAAAAAACAAACTGTGTGTATGTGTGTAACACAAATAAATACGCATTTCAGTCACACATTTGAACACTCCGAGAAATGAACATTTATTCTTATTTTTGCTTCGTTGTTAATTCATTTGTGAATTGAAGAGAACATCCACATTCGTCGACATAACATTATTGGAAGACGGATTTTAAAGCCGTCCCCACCACAAACGCGTGCAGACTCACCCACAAGCAAATAAATAGTATCACACACACACACACACACACACAGCTTCTCTTTTTCTCTCTTTCTGTCCCTTAGTTTCTCTGTTTCTTTTTACTTTCCCTAAAAGTGAAGTTCTCTTACATGCACTTTCTCTCTAACGCTTATATTGTAAAATTAAAAAAAAAAAAACACTATGATAATATATTTTGTACTTATTTATCGTTTATTTTCTCTCTTTTTCCCAATCGATTATGTATCCTTTTCTTTCTCATACTTAACTAACGCAATAGCACCAAAGAATTAAAAAAAGAGGGGGGGAAAGTCCTTATTTCATAATAATCACGTCTAAATTGGCTGTCATCACCCACTAAATAAACACACACACACACACACACACACACACATACGCAATTTGCCTTTCTTCTCACACGGAAGATTGCATTTTTGTCTTCGGCTTACTTCACCAAGTAGTAAACTAAACACTCTTGCACACATATACGCTTATTATTGTAGTAAATATTTGTGTAATTATTCAATAACTGTCAATATATGTAGGTAGGTAGTTATGCAGACGGACAGATAGAGTGAAAGAGGGGTGGGGAGAATGACAGATCGAAAGAAAGAAATAATGATTTATCTTTCTTTTTCAGTGGCAGTGAAATTAGTCTTAAAGGAAATGTACACATCACGAAAAGCACTTGGTCATCAGAGGGAAATTTATAAGGCAGTTCAAATTATCGTTTCCTGCTCTGCTTGGAATACAATCCTATCATTATTTAATAATATGTACATTTGTAACTTTTTTCTTTTTTCAGAGATAGTAACATATTATTATTATTATTATTATATATGAAATAATTATTTTACCTTTTTTTGTTTTTTGTAGGATGAAAAATTTTATCGACTTTTTACTGTCCTTACAAATCATGAATCTTTTTTTAAACATATTTGTTTTTATCTTTCACGTTTTGTGATTTGAGCGGCATTTAATAAATTACTAAAAATCGACAGACTTCTTTCTCAATTTTTCTCTCTTGCTTTCTTTCACTCTCTCTCTCTCTCTTGCTTTCTTTCTCTCTCTCTCTCTCTCTTGCTTTCTTTCACTCTCTCTCTCTCTCTTGCTTTCTTTCTCTCTCTCTCTTGCTTTCTTTCACTCACTCACTCTCTTGCTTTCTTTCTTTCACTCTCTCTCTCTCTTGCTTTCTTTCACTCACTCTCTCTCTGCTTTTTTTTCTTTCTCTCTTTCTCTCTTTTGCCTTTATTTTCTCTCTTTGTTTTTCTTTTTTCTCTGCTTTTTTTCTCTTTTTCTCTTTTCTTTTTCTTTCTTTTTCTCACCCTTTTTCTCTATCTTTTCTCTCTTGTGTTTTTCTCATCTTTCTCTCTCTTGTGTTTTCTCTATCTTTTCTCTCTCTTGTGTTTTTCTATCTTTCTCTCTCTTGTGTTTTTATTTTTTCTCTTGTATTTTTCTCATCTTTTTTCTCTCTCTTGTATTTTTTTTTTCTCTCTTGTGTTTTTTCTCTATTTTTTCTCTCTTGTGTTTTTCTCTATCTTTCTCTTCTTGTTTTTTTTTTCTCTCTTGTTTTTTTCTATCTTTTCTCTCTTGTGTTTTTTCTATTTTTTCTCTCTTGTGTTTTCTCTTATCTTTCTCTCTCTTGTTTTTCTCTATCTTTCTCTCTCTTGTGTTTTTCTCTATCTTTCTCTCTCTTGTGTTTTTCTCTATCTTTCTCTCTCTTGTGTTTTTCTCTATCTTTCTCTCTCTTGTGTTTTTCTCTATCTTTCTCTCTCTTGTGTTTTTCTCTATCTTTCTCTCTCTCTTGTGTTTTTCTCTATCTTTCACTCTCTCTCTCGTGTTTTTCTCTTTCTTTCACTGTCACTCTCTTGCGTTTTCTTTTTTTCTCTTTCACTCTCTTTGTCTTGCCTTTTCTCTTTCTTTTTCTTGTTCTTTCACACTCTCTCTGTCTTGCTTTCTCTTTCTTTCACAATCTCTCTCGCTTTCTCTCTCTCTCTCTCGCTTTTTTCACTATTTCTCTAGTGCTTTCTTTCACCCTCTCTCACTCTCTTGCTTTCTCTTTTTCTTTCACTTTCTCGTGCTTTCTCTTTCTCTCTTTTTGTCTGTCTTGATTTCTCTTTCACTCTCTCTCTCTTTCACACACTCTCGCTCTCTCTTTAGCTCTCTCTCTCTCTCTCTCTCTATATATATATATATATATATATATATATAAATCAAATCTTCCTTGATATGCATTTCTACTGTTAGAAAGCAAAGAGTGTAGTACACAGTCTCGATTTGATTTTCTCTTTGTGTGTGTAATGTCACAATGTGCGTGTGTTCTCATTCTCTTGTTAATCTACATCGCTTTCTAAAACACACACACGCGTATACATGAACAACACATAATTAAAAGTATATTCTCGCACATCTATTCTCCCACTTTCTCTCTCAATACATACAGGAGTCTGTGTTTATGTCTATGTAATAAATGCATACGCTATATACGCACAAGCTGATAGCATTCATTTACCTCAGACACTTACATGACCGTACGTACGAGATAACACTTCGACTCAACTCACACACAATAAATTGAGGTTTTTAGCAATATTTTATGGATAAAAAAAAAATTAATCACACAATATTATCAACCAATCCCTGTACACTTTTTTGTATATAAATTTAAGGAAACTTAATATAAAAAGGGAAATTGTTGCTGGTTCCCGAACACTTCGGAACCATTTTTACTTGATTACATTACGAAAGATCTCAAAATGTCTGTGTTAGACTAGTGTATAATAATAATAATAATAATAATAATAAAACACTAGGCTAACTCAGACATTTTGAGATCTTTCGTAAATAATCAAATAAAACTGGTTCCGAAGTGTTCGGAAACCAGCTAAATATTTCACTTTTTATATTAAGTTTCACAAATTTATTGTCGAAGAAGTGTACTGGGAATGGATAATAATTTTTTTTTTGTTAGTAGTAGTGGTAGCAGTAATAATAATAATAATAATAATAATCCTAAAATTCGTGCAACTATTTGCAATCAATAAACACTAAACAGTTGGAGTTAATACTGAGATATTTTTTTTTTTTTAACACTTGCATTTTTAGTATCATTATGGATAATTCATGATCTGTTTCTTGAAAGTTAAAAAAAAATCGTAATTTGATCAGAATGGTTTGACAGATCATAACAAATCTTATCTTTGAGCCATCGAAAACCGGAGACTGTTTAATTAGTGAGAATTCCTGAAAGTATCCGGTGACTGGGCCGTGTTCGGCACGCAGAAAAAAATATTATTTAATTTTACTCAGTACACAGAACACTGAGAACAGTGTCATAAATTATACACTGTCTTCTACATAAGATATATACTTAACTGTACACCCGCACACATATACAGACAAGCGTACAGAAGCATAGCACTTACATGCAAAAATATCCTTGTGTACAGCAGACACACACCCACAAAGATACACACAAGCTCTCCCACAGTACATACAATATACAACTCCCCCTCTTTCTCCCACTTTCCCAGCCTGCCTCTTCTTGCTTTTTCCCTGACACAAACGCACAGATCATCACACATGAGTAATATGCACAGATAATCTGACCCGTATGTCATATACAGACGTAAGTAGATAATATGTAGCAAGCACAAGAAGCAGCTGCAACATATACGTACGCACAAACTTGTCTAAACAATGCGGTATATTTAAAACGAATTATATATTTATAAACGGCACACAAGTCGATCACCTTGCGTTCACATCAAATAGACGGTAATACTGTTGTAAAATATTAAATGTGTTTCATTTCTCTTTCTTCTTCGCCATTTATCTGTTCAGTAATAATCATTATCTCTTGACTGAAATATTTTGAACACAGGCGATTCACCCACCACCACTACACACACACACACACACACACACACACACACACACACACACAAAACACACACACACACACACACACACACACACACACACATACAAACTCGCGTGCGCGCAAACAGAAACAATTTGCCAGTAGCAATCTCTGAAAGACAATCAACACCAGAAATAATAATAATAATAATAATAATAACGCCTACACTAAATACATTATCTCACGATTAACATCACCGTTGTTGTGTACACGCACCAAACTACTTGGTATGCATTCACCCAAATTATTGTCTTACCCACTTCTTTCTTTCTTTCTTTCTTTCTTAATGTGTTCTTTAGTTTTTTTTCTTTCTTTACTCATCTTTTTCTCTGTATAAATATTTTCTTCCTTACTCCCTTTCTTTTCTGCTTTCTCTTTCTTCCTTTCTTTCTTTTTCCTTCTTTCTTTCTTTTCTCTCTTTTTTATTTATTTCTGTTTTCCTTTTTTCTTTCATTCGTTTTTCTCTTTCTTTCTTTCGTTTTTCTTTCTTTCTTTCGTTTTTCTCTTTCTTTCTTTCTTTCGTTTCTCTCTTTATTTATTTCTTTCGTTTTTCTCTTTCTTTCGTTTTTCTCTTTATTTCTTTCTTTCTTCTTTCTTTCGTTTTTCTTTCTTTCGTTTCTCTTTCTTTCTTTCTTTCGTTTCTCTTTCTTTCTTTCTTTCGTTTTTCTCTTTCTTTCTTTCGTTTTTCTTTCTTTCTTTCGTCTTTCTTTCTTCCGTTTTTCTTTCTTTCTTTCGCTTTTCTTTCTTTCGCTTTTCTTTCTTTCTTTCTTTCGCTTTTCTTTCTTTCTTTCGCTTTTCTTTCTTTCTTTCTTTTTTTTTTCTTTCTTTCTTTCGTTTTTCTTTCTTTCTTTCGCTTTTCTTTCTTTCTTTCGCTTTTCTTTCTTTCTTTCTTTCGTTTTTCTCTTCGTTTTTCTTTCGTTCGTTTTTCTTTCTTTCTTTCGTTTTTCTTTCTTTCTTTCTTTCGTCTTTCTCTTTCGTTTCTTTCTTTCGTCTTCTCTTTCGTTTCTTTCGTCTTTCTCTTTCCTTTCTTTCTTTCGTTTTTCTTTCCTTTCTTTCTTTCGTCTTTCTCTTTCCTTTCTTTCTTTCGTCTTTCTCTTTCCTTTCTTTCTTTCGTCTTTCTCTTTCCTTTCTTTCTTTCGTCTTTCTCTTTCCTTTGCTTTCATTTTTCTTTCTTTTTCCTTGCTTTATCTTTCTTTTCTTCAATCAAAAAAAAGACATTTAATGATCTATGTTGTTGAGCCGTTCCCTCACACCTTCAGCAAAGTAACTCAACTGTCTCCCCACCCCATACTCAGTCACAGGGTAATTACTAAGAATGTACATAGGTTTTCCAAACATATGTATCCACATACTGAATATCTGACGTGACATTTAAATCTACATGATCACAGATGTAAACTTCAAGTTTAAAATACATATTCATTTACAGAGAAACGCAAACTCTTGATCCAATCTATTTATTTACCTATAACTGTTTCTAATTTTATACACAATTTCTCTCTCGTTTTCCCTTCCCTTATCAAATTTTCATCTAAAAATGTATTGTCTGTCTTTCAAACATTTGAATTTGAGACTCTATAACTTAGTCTCAATTTTTGAATAAGAAAGACTTAGACTCTATATGTCTTTCTTATCCAAAAATTTGTATTTTAAAAATATATTTCTTGCTTATTGAATATTAGATTCATTTTCAAACAGTCAGTAAAAAAAAAACTGAACAAAAAAAAAAAACACTCTCACGAATTGTGAGGTGACAGTCTCATTTTACGTTGATTCTGTTGTTAAATGAGTTAAAAATTATTTTTAAAAGTTCAAATAAATTGGTAATACTTTTTAGCAGTGGTACGTAGATTTTTGAAAAATAAAACGGTGTACAAAAAAACTGAACACCCCGGTCATCCCTATGCGGTCTGTTAAATAAATAAAACTTGTGTAAAAAAAAAAAAATTTGCGAAAAAACAAAAACAAAAAAAAACTCCCACTACATGAGTAAAAGCAGATCTTTATCTCTGACAAGACTGACCACAATATGAACAAGGTACAGAATATCTTCGCCAATGTGAATTCCGGCTCAAAACAACGTCTTTACTAGAAGAGCTACCAACTATATCCGTCACGTAATTATTTCTACAGAACAACACAAGACTAAAAAAAAAAAAAAGAAACAAAAAGGAAAGGAAAAACGTATATATAAGCCAAGCCTTGCTTGTAGTTATAATCATTTCAGAGCAGCTGTAGTTATGTCCAGTAGTTGTCTAGCATCAAAAAACTGTGAACGAAAAGAAAACAAAGAAAGGTGGGTCCAGAAAGAAAAAGAGAGATAGAGAAGAAAAAAAAAAAAAAAGGGAAAGAAAGAGAGAATAGGAAATGCGAGTGGGGAAGTCGGGAAAGGGAAGTTTAACAAAGGATGTTTGAATCGTGTGGCTAGAGGTCTGTTGTTTGACATGGAGCAAAAATTAACGCCGAACTGCTGCACCTGCCGTATATAACAACAGAAAAATCTTAGTCGACAGCAGTTACAAATATGACTGCATTTATCTTTCTGTTTTCTTTTGTTTTGTTTTACTTTTTATAACCCGCCACCCCATCGTCAACGTGTACCCAGAAAGCTGAAACACCGTCGCACCTTCTAATGAACGTCGTACGTGTTCAGGTTGAATAGAATTCGTATGTACAAGCTCAGATCTTTTTTAACTGCTTTCTTTCTGTTTTTCCTTTTTTTAAGGACACAAATAATATAATAGGTTCGACTTTTGCTTTTCTGGATTACGAGGTTCATCTTTGATATGATAGACAAACAAATCGTTACAAAATTAATAACGGATTTTACAAGTTAGTCAAACTCAAATGTACTGCAAAACCCGGAGATATAGCCTTACCCAAAATTTCAACTAATAGCACCGGACATAGAAATTCAGATAATTTGACTTCAAACTTTTTAGCCAGTTCTTTCAATATTGTAAACAGTATTTATGCAAAAACTGCAATACTCTCGGGGGCCATATTTTCTTTATTGAAATTTCTCGAGTGCGCTGGCCTAAAGACTGTTTAAAATAAAAACGGAGCGTCTATTTCAAACACGGGTATCCATTAAAAATAATGTTTGAAGTATAAAATATGTGTGTGTGTACAAGTACACAAAATAAAATGATAAACTACAGTTGTTTTTTTTTTTTTTACTTTAAACAATAAATTTACAAGTACACACAGATTGTTAAGAGATCTAAAAGACTTGACCAAGTTTAAGATGTTCATGGGCTTCAATTTAAAAAACCTATTTTATTTTAATCTGGACAAAAAACAAAAAAATCTCTTTACAAAAAGAGATTTTACAAGTACATAAACGTACTGACTGTAGTCGACTAAAAAAATTGCTGGGCTTTTCATGCGGTTCATATGGCTGGAACTCGAACTAGACCTGATCAGTGGGTAAAATAGTCGACGGTTTTACCAGATGAGCCTCACAAATAAGATTAAAAACAAAAAGTGTTACACACACGGATATTTACACAATTATACAGCCACCCCAGCGCTCACATACACGAAATACCCAAGTACATGCCTGCAGGGTAATTATAAGGACAAAAGTAAAGAAGGAGGAAAAGCGAAAAGGAAGAAAGGAAAAGGAAAGAGAAAGAAGAAGATAAGGAAAAAGACAGGAAGTTTAGAGGAAAAAGAAAGAAAGGAAGGAAGGAAAAAGAAAAGAAAGAAAATAAGAGAAGGAGAAAGAAGGACAGCGAAAGAAAGGAAAGGAAAATTAAAGGAAATGGGAAAAAAATATGAAAGGAGAAAGGGAAAAAAAAAGAATGAATTAAAAGGGAAAGAAGAAAAAAGAGTGTTACACGTACACACGCACAAATACACCCACTCCCTTGGTGGGGTGACTGGAAGGGAGGAAGCGGAAAGAAAGACAATGTAAGACTGAGTAACGTTGGTAGTGGGTGTTGGTGGTTATTAGGGGGCAAATAAAGACCTCCCTGGAGGTTGGCTGTATTGAGTGGGTGTGGGGACAGCGTGGAGAGAAAAGTTGGGAAAGACAATCGTTCGGTTGAGGTTTAGAGGAAGAAGAAAACGAAACGAAGACGAGTTGAAAGACTTGGTTACATTGAAAGGATTTTTGTGAAGATAATGGGTTGGTGTATTAGTGGTGGTGGTGAGTGGAGATGAGGGGGAAGAGGGAAGAGGTGATAATGAGGGGAGGGAGTTGTAACTGAAAAAGAAGGGCAAAAATGGGTGTGTGAGAAAGAAAGATTATTTAAAAGGAATGAAATATCGAGACATGGCATTTCAATTTTGGTGAACAACAACTATAAGCATATGAAATATTTCGTGCTACACACACAATATATATATATATATATATATATATATATATTTATTTATGTGTGCAGGTATGTAGAAAAATAGGAAAGAACACGTAAGGTAAATAACCCAGGGTTCTTTAGTATTTTTTTATTTTTTAAAAAACAGTGCTCCATACAGAAGTAAAGCTTAGATTATGAAGGTGTGACTGATATGTGGATAAAAATGGTCGCCCCAGCCGTTTCCATAGTAACGAATGAACACGCTTATAACGATACGTAAATTTCAAAATTGGTTATTCATAAATTTTCGCTTGAGGATGAAACAGGGCTTGTTACTTTAATTCAATTTAATTTTAATAATTTACTGATGGTTTTGGCTCTCGTTTTTGAAACATGAGAACTCTTATGTAGCGAAGGAATCATATTTAAAAAAAAATAATTATAATATATATATATATATACTGCGTGCAAAAATTATTATCGAGATAACTTTTTATATTTTAAACCAATCCAATCGTTCACATAAAATTTTCACACAATGTTGGCAACACTGACCTGCGCAATCATTGAAATTTTGACCTGATCTTAGCAATGTAAACAAACTAGCGCCATATTTGTTATCAGCACGCATTGATTTGATGCGCAATTATTAGAAAAGTATAAGAATTTAGTAAAAAGATGGGCCATAAAAAGCAGTTTAAGTAATGCTAAAAAGAAAACTATCACCTCAGAACTCTCAAAAGGTAATCTACCCTAGAAATTTCTAAAATGATAGGAGGTGTCATCAGACAGTGAAAAAAAGTTCACCGCCGACCCGACACAAGTACGCAAAAGGGTATATAAAGGCAAGCTGAGGGTTATTTCACGTCGTCTCATGTCACGACTTAAATGAGAGGCCACAAAGAATCCTGGACTTACCAGTCAAGAGCTTTTCAGTCGCATTGGGGATCCTACTGTGTCTAAAAGTACTCGGTGTCGGTATCTGAGGGAAATAGCAACAACAGTCAAACCTGTATCGAAGCCTCCGTTGACGAGAAATCACATTCAAAATCGATTGAAATGGGCCGAGGACACTATGAAGATTGACTTCTCTAAAGTATTGTTCACAGACGAAACTCGAGCAACACTTGATGGGCCAGATAGATGGTGCAAAGTCTGGGTAATGAACGGACAGAATCGCCATCAGCGTTTGAGACGCTAACAAGGCGGTGGAGGCATAATGATCTGGGGTGTTATAATTGGAAAAACATTAGTGGACCCGTGAAGAGTACCAGATGGCGTCGGAATGACTGCTGATGCACACATAGCGTTTATGAAGGAACATCTTGAACCGTGGATGAAAAGGCAAAGAGTTGCCTTCAGAAGGGCCATTGTTTTTATGCAAGATAATGCTCCCTCACATGCTGCTCACAAGACTACTGAATATTTAAAACAGTTAGGCTTCGATGGACCTCGAAAAATGAAGTGGCCAGCAAATTCTCCGGATTTGAACCCAATCGAAAACCTTTGGAGCATCATGAAGCGAAGACTGTACGCCAATGGACGACAATTCAGGAGCAACGTTGAGTTGTGGGAAGCAAGTCTTGATATATCTCGCGGCATTACAGCAGATGACATCCTACAATTAACAAATTCTATGGATCATCGATGTCTTCAAGTAATTTCAAAACAGGGAAAGCACATTCCCTATTAATTTGTTTAAAACTGTGCCTTTGTTTGTATATATTATTATTTGTTTGATTATCTTATTTATTAGCTTCTTTTGATCATAAACATTCACGTGCAACATTAATAAACGTTTTGTTTGCTCAATTCTGGGAATTTTACTAAACCTTTCTAATAATTTGGCACGCTCAAATTACCGTGCTGATAACAAATTTGGCGCCAGTTTGTTTACATTGCGCAGATCAGTACGAAAATTTCAATGATTGCGCAAGTCAGTGTTGCCAACATTGTGGGAAAATTTTGTGTGAATTGATTGGACAGTTTTGAAATATTAGAAAAAGTTATCTTGATAATAATTTTGCACGCAGTGTATATATATATATATATATATATATATATATATATATATATATATATATATATGGGTCCTTGACTTACGTCGGAGATCCGTTCCTACGGCGCGACGTAACCTGATTTTCGCCGTAGGTTGGAACTCATCTACATATCCACCAACGAGTCTGACTTACGCTTGGGAGTCATAATGAAGGACAAAAACTTAAAATAAAACAAAATAAAACAAAAAAAAAAAAAAGCGACACAAACGAGAGATAGCAAATGTAGCACAAACCAATATGGCGTACAGCCGGTGAAGAAACAATGCCGTTTTCCTCATATAGCGCCGCGTGACGACGTATTATATGGCGCTGTAACCACGAAACGCCGTGTGTCTGTTCCGACGTAACCCGAGGGCATTCTCTCTGTGTGTGTGTGTGTATGTATGCATATATATATATATATATATATATATATATATATATATGCATACATACATACATATATATATATATATATATATATATATATATATATATATATATATGTTCATACATGCTTCATTAAATAATATAGACAAGTGTTGTCTATTTTATGTAAATTCTTTTCATAACGTCTGATAAGCTTAATAACATTATCATTAAACGAAGAAAGAAAATCACAATATTGATACATATTTTTTAATCCAGTCTAAGCTTTCGGCTTACATAAGCCATTATCAAAGATGACAATTACTGCATAATATATTAAGCAATACACGGACAAGAATGTAATGATAGTCTGTTTCTGTTTACATGGATGATTTCCAAGCAACGATAAACACGTGCATATAAGACGGTGGAAGCGAAAATCGCACCGCAGATCATGATGTCACACATGACCACGCGAGAGTGAATTCGAGAAGTATTAAGTATAAACCAATGGCTTCTGTTACCAATTATAGACATTTAAGAATATTTATGGAGATTTCGTAGTTTATTTTGTTTAGGTTAGGTTTCAACTGTTTTATGTATATAGCTTCAAGAATTCCACACCATAAATGTATCTCCTCGGTTAAACTACTGGAGAGTGAAAGATTAATTTAATTTCAAAAGCAGAATACTTAAAAAATATAGGCTTTGCCGTAATTAAAATATTGAATGTAACGTACACTAAATTCACATTCGCCGGAAAAGAAAATTAATATAGGTCATGGCATGAAGTTTTCTGCATATAAAACCGAATTTCCTTGTGGGCAGATACAGGTTGTAACATTATTTTTTATGTATCGAAATCTGACGTTCGACTTTCCTAAGAAGTAAAAGTGAAGGAGATGGAGAGCTAATTTAACATACTGCTAGCTAGTTATATGTTCGTTCAGCTTCTTACATAAAATTTTATTGTTGATAAATAAAAAGCCCCTTTAAGAAACTGGTAAATAAAGTAATCGTTCGAAAAAAAAAACCCTGATCAAACATATAGAACAACTTTGATAAATTAATATGCAGTCGTTAAATAAAGAGTAACCAGATAAAATGTTAATAATAGCAACTAATCAATGTAAGATATTAATAATACCAACTAAACACTTGTGCATCCACATAAGATGTTAATAATACTAATCAAGCATCAATACAAAGCAATATTAAATCAAAATGAATCTTACAAATCGAATAGTAAGCCATATAAGGTGCACTGCAGTTCATCTACTGATTATTACTATAAGAAAAAGTATTATCAAATTTAAAGTTTAGACATATTGTAAGGTAAAAGGTAGGCTATGCCTACAATTTATAGTCAATTCTCTTCTTTGGCTTAATAAGGAGGTTTTATCAGAAAATCTGGTAATTTCTAATTTTTCATGTAAGCATAAAAAACTGGGTTCATTTAAAGATCTACATGTTCTAGCTTTTTTTTTTTTAAATTCCATTATAACACAGGAGTTTTATCAGCTTTATTATTTTAAATTCCAAAAATATTTAGAAAGGTATGTACTATTTCTATAAGCGCTATTGGTGAAGGATAAGATATATTGATACCACCTACTATTAAAAGAATTCTTAGTACTATCAATATAAAATTTTTCAACAGTCAGATTCTCTATTGTAGAAATAGTACTTAGAAAAACAAGAGAAGTGGTTAAACAGTGGTTTCGTAATGAATATTTATTAGAATCCTTGCAATTAGATTGGTTAATATTATTAACAGTATTTATCTTGCAATGTGTATTATTTTCCAAATTTTTAAATTGGTTTAAAATTTTATTATTATGCTTCTTTATAATACTCTCAAGATTATCGGTACAGCTATAACTTAGTTTTATTGTGTTTCTGTTACACGCACACACACAAGGTGTCCCATAATGATGGGACACATTTTAAATGCAATTACCTTGGATTATAAAAATAACATAGCGTACCAAATATATTTATTACATAACTGATTTACACGAATCAAACATATCTAAAATTTGAATATTACATCCTTGAAATGGTCACCACCATGAAGAGACCGTGAACGAGCTCGCTCTCTCCTAAATAAATACAGTGCGGCTTAGCATATCAACTTGTTCATGTCCTTTGTAGCTCTTAATGAATTTTCCCTTTTTGTGATTTATCCGAAACTGTGTTCGCCCATCCCTTTACTAAACCCACTAAGAATGCTATGCGCTGTTTTCCTGTCACTATTGCCTTCAGTCTGTCCTGTGAGTATCAGATTTTCCAAGTCATCTTTCTTCAGTATGTGCCCTAGAAATTTCCGCTGTCTCTTCCTGATGTTAAGCATAAATTTCCTTTTTGTTTCAATTTTCACCAAAACTTTGTCGTTGTTCACATATTCAATCCACGGTATCCTCAGCATCCTTCAGTAGAACCAGATTTCTGTTCCTTCAAGTTTCGTCATTATCTTTGAGGAGATTGTCTAGCATTCACTGCCATATAGGAGGATAGATATCACACAACAGTTCTTTTCTTTGTTTCTAATGAAGTTTTTCTGTTTCCCAATACTCTGCTTAGCATTTGGGATGCATCTTTGGCTATCCCAATGCACTTTCGGATTTCAGGGCCTCCCTTTCCGTCGTCTGTTAAAAAGATATTTCAATTTTTGAACTTGTTTGATTTTGTTATTTCCAATTTTGTAATTTGTATTTTGGGCTCATATTTTGCTAATATCAATTCAATCTGTCTTTTTGCAGTTGATGTTTAATCCTTTCTTCTCTCTTTCCTTCACTATTTGTATTTTTCTTTATCTTGTCTGCTATCAGCACTGTGTCATCTTACGTTGTTAAGATTGTGGCTGCTTATAATGAATTCTGATAAGACTTCTAATCCTCTCAGAATCGTCTCGTTGAATAAGTCCGGCGAGAAGACACATCCTTGTTTTGCACCTCTTTTTGTTTTTGTATATCTGTTGAACTCCTTTTCTATCCGTATACAGAGGGAGCAATAATAATCTAGTGAAAATATTGTTAAAGTCTAAACAGTAGAAAAAGTAACGAAATCAATCAATAAAAGATCGATTAAGGCCGTAAAATATCAAAGATCACATTAACTTGTAAAATAAAATAATGATTTGTTAAGCTATCGGGCAAATTGTATTAACCAAATATTCTATGGCCTATATATTTTGGATTTAATTATAAATAAAAATTCATTTTGCCTTTGAATAATAAATATTGATGTCATCCCACCAAAAGTTATTAATACATAATTTTAAAATGAGGATAAATATTATAATGAGAAATTCATATGATATATTGTTCATATAAATATTATCCACAAAATTTTATCAACATCGGGTGGTTAATAACAATTTTATTGTGAAAACATTGACCTGCATAATAAATTCTGACATAGTGTAATAAATAATAAAAAATGTGATTATAGGAAATGTAATAGATTTTAGGATAAGTAGAAAATAAAGAGAGAGAGAGAGAGAGAGAGAGAGAGAGAGAGAGAGAGAGAGATAATAAGAGATAGCGAAAGAAAAAGAACTAAAAAGGGAAGACTTTATGGCGATGCGTTTTGATAACATTCATGTATTTTTGATGTAGCCCAGAGCTTTCTCATTAAAAGATAATATGCCATTTTTACCCATTTCATTATTATAATAGTGACGTGCAATTCACTGATACTGGCGACCTGTTTTATTGTGCGCCCGCCCTGGCCACCCGATAATAATGACAACGTATACTTTAACCCTTAATAGCACACACAAATTTTTACAAAGCTACGATTACCTCCCTTGTCTCCTACCTTTATTCATTCTTAAATTTATTCATTTTTTGTAGGTTTCATAATATCGCCTTTTCTTTCTTTTTTTCTTTTTTTGTTTTATTCCCTACAGATTCTTTCTTAATTCCTTTTTTCTTCAATTGCTTTCTTTTCTTTTCTTTTACTTGTTTTTCTTCTTTTTTTTTTTTTTTTTTTAACTTATTTTCATCCATTTTACTGTTGTGCTCCTATTTTTTTCTCTCTTTCACGATCCTTTTAATCACTTGTAATTTCATTCTCTCTCCAAAACATTGTTCTTCCACCAATTCATTGTTCTTACGACAACTTTCTAATGAACCGCACGTCTAATTAACTTCAAGGAATTTTTATTCGGGTATGCTTATCTGCTCTATCAAGTGAGATAAATGGATGGATAAAAACTATTATAGGAAAATCGAAATATGTATAAATAGATTAAAAAAAAAAGCTATAAGAGACCATCAAAGTGATGCATAAAATAACTGATGGAGGGCCATGCAAATTGAATAACGGGATGAAAATGCGAGAGATCAGTTGATAAATACTAAACTGACATAAAATCGATAGATGAAAGAAATTACTGCCACAAATGTATTTACA